GTGATGACGGCTGCAATTGCGGCGATTGTCGGCGCCGAAGACGTAATGTGGCGGCGCTGGTGCGGGTGATGGTGAGGAAGCGCACGCGCACGGAAACCCAAGAGTCCTGGCAAGCTGAATCGAAAAACATGTACTCCGAATTTCTCAATACGCGTCGGGGGTGCGTCACCCCCGCCGGCAGCCCCACATCGACCCCCGTCGCGGGCAGCCACCGCGCGCCGAAGGCGCTCCGACCCCCGTCGCGGCGCGACGACGACGCGAGGCTGACCCACGTCGGGGGGATACCCCTCACGCTTACTAAGAAACCCGGAATATGTTTCCATGATTGTGTGAAGACTCCGTGGGCAAAACAAAAGAAACACATTTTTTTTTTGTTGTTTTGTAAGTTGTTTTTCCCACAGGCTCTGGGTGCGTTTGTGTGTGTTTTTGTGTGTTTTGTTGCGTGTTTTTGTAAGTTTTTTTCCGCAGGTTCTGTGCTGTGTGTGTGTGTTTTTTTTTTTTTTTGTGTGTGTGTGTGTGTGTGTGCGTGTGTTTTTTTCCATGATTGTGTGAAGACTCCATGTTGAGATGCTTCGAGCGCCAATGGCTTTGGGAAAATCTCGGCACGCTCGCGTGGCGGCGCGCGCGTGCGTGTGGCCAGCATGGTATTCTTGAAGGGGCCCCAGGACACACAAATAAATGCACACAAAATTTCCCGGCAAAGCAACCTAACAGCGATGTGTAGAGGCATAGCTGGAAACATTGCCTGTGGTATTCATGTAAGAGTGCTGTTGTAGAGTTCTGGTGTTCTCGCAGTCGCATTCGGATTCGCAATGGCAGTCGCAGTGGCAACATCAGCGGCAGTCGCAGTGGCACTGCCAGTAGTTTCAGTAGCAATAGCTACACTAGCAGCAGCAACAGCATCAGCAACAGTAGTAGTAACAGTAGTAGTAGCAGTAGAAGTAGTAATGATGGTAGTAGTGGTAACAGTGAAGTAGTAGTTGTAGTGTGTGGAGTCACTGCTTTCGATAACGGTATCTCCAAATGAGATCTTTGTATACATGCGTTGAAGTCTACACAAGACACTGCTATCAACGGATGTGATTCCAAACGAGACACTGCTATCAACGGGTTGAGCCTCAAACGACACACTTGCATCAATGAGTGTAGATCCAACACAGGCACTCCCATGAATGGATTTACTGTGATGTCGTAGTAGTAGTAGTAGTAGTAGTAGTAGTAGTAGTAGTAGTAGTAGTAGTAGTAGTAGTAGTAGTCGTAGTAGTAGTAGTAGTAGTAGTAGTAGTAGTAGTAGTAGTAGTAGTAGTAGTAGTAGTAGTATGGGCACGGACCCGTAAGACCTGAGTCTCCACCGGGGTGCTCGGCGAAGCCATTGATGATGATGATGCTGATGATGATGATGTGATGATTGAGGAGGAGGAGGGGGTGATGACCGCGCTACTTGGATTTGTTCTGTCCGTCTTTCTCGGCCTCCAACCAAATCTTGGAAGACATCTCGCAAACGGAAGAGGGGCGCACTGAGGAGCGGCGTGTGAAGCGGACAGTCGGCAAAACTTGCAGGCTGAGAAGCACCGCAGAAACTCGGAGGCCGAGAGGCACCGCGGCCGCGCAGTCCTACTACTGCTGGAACTAGGATTACAAGTACGCGCGCCGAGAAGCACCGTGGACACGCGGGCTCGGATACATACTTCGCCTCTCCCGCTTGTATTGCAGGAAATCGCGCCAATCTGGCGGCTGGCAAGTGCCGAGGAGGCGCAGGCTGAGAAGCACCGCGCGAGTGCAGGCTGAGAAGCACTACGCGAGTGCATGCCACGGCATTGCGTGCCACATGAATGCAGGCTGAGAAGCACCACATTTTGTTTGCCAGAGATCACTCCCAGGTCACCTGATCCCGCAACAACAGCCACGGCGTAGCTGCCACAGGGGCCGCAGCCCAGGGCCCGCAGTTCATGCAAAATGTCTTTGGGGGTGCGGTCGCGATGGTCCGAGAAACGTTTGGCCAACTTGTTTTCGGCCCGTTCTTGTTCGGACGTTCCTTTATTTCGCTTCGGTATCCGGCCGAACTGCTTCACGTGCTCGACGAGCGTTTGCAGAGGACCGCTCAATGCAGCACGCTGAGGAGCAGCGCTGTTCCCTGCCGCAGGCTGAGGAGCACCGCTGTTCAATGCAGCAGGGTCAGGAGCACCGCCGCCAGACCGAGAACTATCAGCATGTCCTGGCATTAAGGTGTGCAGTAGGCGCTGCGCAGTTCCTTTGAAAGGAAATCTTCGAAAGCAGGGCTGTAGCCAAGAAGGCTACGGGGACGATGATGATGATGAAGATGATGAGTCTTGGAAGTCTGGGAAATGGAAGAGCACGAAGTGGCGTACAGTTGGCTCCGGGCATTCAAAATGTGGCCCGGGAGTGGAGTTCTGGGAAGTGGAAGAGCACGAAGTGGCCTACAGTTGGCTCCGGGCATTCAAAATGTGGCCCGGGATGGAGTTCTGGGAAATCCAAGAGCACGAAGTGGCCTACAGTTGGCTCCGGGCATCCAAAATGTGGCCCGGGAATGGAGTTCTGGGAAGTCGAACAGCACGAAGTGGCCTACAGTTGGCTCCGGCATCCAAAATGTGGCCCGGGAATGGAGTTCTGGGAAGTCGAAGAGCACGAAGTGGCCTACAGTTGGCTCCGGGCATTCAAAATATGGCCCGGGAATGGAGTTCTGGGAGGTCGAAGAGCACGAAGTGTGTGACTGTTTGCTTAAAACAAGCCCGGCCCTCGCCTGTCCGGCTCCCGCCCAGACCCCCCTGGGGAGTCATGAGATCTCTCTTTTGACCCCATTAGAAACCTTGCAGTCTTCGTTGTGAGGTAATAAGAATATTCTTTACATTTTCCAATATTTTAACAGTGTTTGTCTCCCCCCCAGTTCCCATATTTTCCCATATTTTCCTGGGAGTCGACGATTAATTGTGTCTGTATGTTTCTTTCCCTTCTGAATTCTTTGATACAGATTCTTGCACTGGGCGTGTGCCGGACCAGCGCGGATGCACCGCGCGGTGGCGTGGGGGTGCGGGCTCTGGGCGAGGTTCCTGGGAGTTCAGCACCTGCGTGCGTGCAGAAAACGTGTAAGACTCGTGATGCGACACCCCAGGGTTGCTGCATGTTTTGGTGCTGCAGTCCTTGGAGAGCTAGTGTGTTTCGTATGCTTTGGACATGTGCGCGCGGGTATGGACTGTGTACTTGTGGTTTCTTGAAGAATGTTCTTCCGATGCGCGAAAGCGCGCATCGTCTTATTTGCTAAGGGTGATGGGGGGGATAACTGGCCTGCTTGTCTGTGATGGTTTGGCGTCGTATGGAAACGAACGACGAGGCAGAAACACAAGTCATTTTCCGTGTCCCAGGGGGTGCCGATCAGTCTGGGGTGGACAGTATACAAAGTCGATTCTTGCTGTGGAAGGGGAACCGATCTGGTGGATGCGATGTGTGAAAGCTACGTTGTGCAGGCTGTATGGTGCAGTGCAGGTGGCGCAAGCTGTGTGGTGCAAGCTCCGCAGGCGCCCACGGAGCACCCAAGGGCAGCCGCCCAGTGGGCGCCCACGAGGCGGCTACGGGCGGATTGGGTGGTACAGGCTGTGTGGTGCACGCCGTGGGGCAAAAAAGCTCTGCGGTGCAAGCTCCGGTGTGTGTGTGTGTGTGTGTGCGTGCGTGTGTGTGTCATGCAACGTTGCTTGCCTGCGCGGGCCCGGCTTCCCCCCTTCCCGTCGCGCCGGGGTCTCCCTCCTCTCCCCGCGCGCATCGCGGCCCGAGTCGCATCCGGTGCGCCCTCCGGATGCCCGACCGCCGGAGCCGTCGCCCTCTGCCCGGCCGCCGACGCAAACAGCGCGCCGTGCCGAGCGATTCGTCGGGAGCGGCGCGGGGGGCAGGCTCCGCAGCCGTTGCAGGCCGGCGCACGGGGCGCCCACGAGGCGCCCAAGGAGGCCTCCCACAGTGCGACCCCCGAGGGGCGTTCCCCGGGGCGAGGGGCCCAACGCGCGCGGGGCGGCCAGGGAGGAGCGAGGAGGAGGAGGAGGAGGAGGAGGAGGAGGAGGAGGAGGAGGAGGAGGAGGAGGAGGAGGAGGAGGAGGAGGAGGAGGAACGAGGCGCGAGGCGCCCGACGGGCGGCAGCACACCGAGGCCACGGGGCGAGGCCCCGACAGGGCACAGCCGAGCGCACGGGGCGCCGGCGGCGGGCCCACGGGCGGCAGCCGGCCGGGCACCGGGCGGAGCCCTCGCCAGACCCAGTCGACGACTTCGGTGAGCCAAGCCAGGCCCCCCAAGTGCGCAGGGGTTGAGCCTGTTTCTGTATGGGAGCAACGATATATAGAGAGAGAGAGGGAGATAAAGAGGGAGAGAGAGAGAGATAGAGAGAGAGAGAGAGAGAAATTACATGTATATACAAATATAGAATAAAAAAAAAACAACAACACAAAAACAGGGAGTGAGAGAGAGAGAGAGGGACAGAGACAGAGCGCGAGGCAAGAACCATAGAGGACACTAAGGGGCTGGAGACCACGACCACGATAAGAGCGGGAGCGCCCCTCGGGCCCGCACCCAGAGCTGGAGGGAGAGCACCAGTTGCAAGGTATGGGGAATGACATCCAGAAAGTGCACCAGTACCAGGCGCGGCATGCGGAGACCATGCTACCCGCCTCTCCTCCTCTGAATCCTCCCCATAAGCTTGCAAGACTCCCCATCCTCATCCAAGACTCTTCCTACTGCCCCCTCCCCCAATCGTCCCACGCAAATCACCCCACTCGCGAGTGATCCTCATCGTCGAAGAGACTTATGGGGGCCAGAACAATCGATGATTCTCAGAACGTGTCTTAACGCCAACGTGCGCGTCTCCACCGAAGCCGGTCAATACGACGCTAACGAGGACCGACACAGTCTGCATGCGATCGGTGGAGATACACGGGGAGCACACACACACACTGGGCTAACACATGTCACGAGGGGCGTCGAAGGAAGTTCCAGAAACGATCCTTCACGACGTCTGCCTTCTTTCTGTCGTTCACGTGCAGCTTCTTGGCGATGATCATGCCTCCCTCGGTGTCCCTCCGACTTCTATATCTGGACGTCAGTTCATGTCGGTCTTGCCCCGAGTTCAGTGTACCCCGTCACCACTGGCATCGTCAACAGCATGTGCCACCCGCGATCATAGCCAAGGGGAGGCATCGAGGGAGTACCATGGAAGCGCGCGTGCCCGGTGCAGAGAAGTCCATGGCAACACCTAGTGCTTCAGACTACTATTCTGAAAGCCATTGGTCACTTTCATCAGCCCGACATTTTGATAACCAAACATGACGACGGCGGGATACGCATAAGCTGGACAGGGAGGACATTATCCTGGCAAAGGACCAAAGCATCTGCAGTTGTGACTACTGCAGTGGTGCGAACCCTCTTCGGTGGAGCTCCCTATGGGGCGACGAAGCGTGTGAGGGGTATACCGAAATATGTGGCGGGGAGGCATGTGGTCACAACAATTGGGGCCTTCGGTTGAGCTCCCTATGGGGCCACGACGCGTGTGAGGAGTGCGCCGACATGGGTGGCGGGGACGCGTGTGGTCACAGCCACTGAGGCCTTCGGTGGAGCTCCCCATGGGGCCACGACACGTGTGAGGGGTGTGCCGAAGTGGGTGGCGGGGGCGCATGTGGTCACACAACCACTGGGGCCTTCGGTGGAGCTCCCCATGGGGCCACGAAATGTGTGAAGGGTGTGCCGAAATAGGTGGCGGGGACGCATGTGGTCACAGCCACTGAAGCCTTCGGTGGAGCTTCAAATGGGGCCACGACGAATGTGAGGTGTGTGCCGACATGGGTGAAGGGGACGCATGTGATCATAGGCACTGGAGCTTTCGGTGGAGCTCCCTATGGGGCCACGAAATGCGTGAGGTGTGTGCCGACATTGGTGGCGGGGACGCGTGTGGTCACAGCCACTGGGGCCTTCGGTGGAGCTCCCTGTGGGGCCACGAAACGTGTGAGGGGTGTGCCGAAATGGGTGGCGGGGGCGCATGTGGTCACAACCACTGGGGCCTTCGGTGGAGCTCCCCATGGGGCCACGAAATGTGTGAGGGGTGTGGCGACCTGGGTGGCAGGGGCGCATGCGGTCACAACCATTGGGGCCTTCGGTGGAGCTCCTTGTGGGGCCAGCCACGAAACGTGTGAGGGGTGTGCCGACATGGGTGGCGGGGACGCATGTGGTCTCAGCCACTGGTGCCTTCGGTGGAGCCCCTGTAGGGCCACGAAACGCTGTACTGGGTGCGCTGAAATGGTGAACATGCGGAGGGCAGAGGCAGGGAGGGAGGAGAGCCGAGGAGGAGGCAGGGCGCTGTCTTTTCAAAGCGAAGACCCAACACCTCAGGATGGTTGGGAAAAACTGGAGGGTGAGCAACAACAGGAGGGGTAAGAGAAGGCAGAGTCAGGCAACGGGGAGGAAGGCAACGAGGAGGAATACCCAGACTCGTGGACCCCAGCAGGTCTCGACCTCGTCCCCAATCGGCAGTTCAACCTGATAAATCATTTCACGGCCCCAAGCACGGACAAAGACGACCAGAGCACCCAATCATACATACCAGCAAACGCTGCCATCGTGCTTTTGCAATGCCGCAAGTGGGACAGCGCATGAGGCAGTCGCAGGCAAAGATCAACGACGGCCATCCGCGGACAAGGAACGGTATACTGTACGATGTGTTACGAGTTGCGTTTCGCTATCGGGGACGCTGCGTCCTACGGCAGCTAAGAAGATTACACCCCCTCGGCGGCACGTTCGAACACAAACTTTCCAACCGCCATCGGGGGCGTCCCTGCGGTCGGAAGCTTTGCTTTGCGTGCCGCGGCGGCGGACCCAAGGGGACACGCTGTGCCCTGCGAGCGGATACGTAGCGTGTCGCTCCGCTCTGCGCAGTGGGAGGCTGGGAACGTCTCGGGACGCTGACGCTCGGGAGTGGGCTTAGCTTTAGGTCGGGCACGTCCTCCTACAGGCGGGTTTTGGAGGACAAATTAAAATTGCCAAAAATACTCCCCCAATGCCCAAAAACAGTCAAAGCATCGTCCCCATACTACTTAATGGCTATATTTGAATATTCCTCCTGTAGAGGGACAGGCCCGACCTAAGCTTAGCGCATCGCGCCGAAGCATGGTGGCCCAGGACAGGCGGCACTGCACGCTTAGCCAACAACTCCTGACCACTGCCGCAGGTAGGGGCACCAACTTTTCCAACCGCCGTGCCCCAAACGTCCCCGATGGTGGACAAATCTATACCTGAGGGGCAACGATAGGGGGGACTGGCATGGGGGGGGATGCATCGACCTGGAATCGGCGATGCATCGCCGACAGATCGGCGATGGGCCTCCCATAGTGAATCCGTACCTTCCTGGGCAGGTTGGGGCTATCGGGCCCCTATCGGCGATCGATGGGCGATTGGGGGTCGATGCATCCCCCCCCGATGCCCATCCCCCCCCTATCGTTGCCCCTGAATGCCGTTCCGCTCCCTGCCCGCGCAGGCAAGGCGGAGCAGGGCGAGCAACCGGCAGGCAGCGGGCCCCACCGCACCCCGGCGTCCTATGAAGCGGGCCCGGTTCGACAGCAGCTCCTTCTCCAGGGTCAGCTTGTTGATCATGTACTTCTTCCTGGACGGGGGGAGGGCTAGCTGCGTTCTCCGGGGGCCTTCCTGGGGCCAATCGCTCCACTCGTGTGTCGATGCTGCGTCGAACGTCCGGCGACTTGAACCGAGCTTGCTTCGAACTGGAGTCGAAGTTGAGTCGAACCGTTCGAGCAGGAGTCGAACTACTGTGGAACACATCCGTGGCGTGGGCCGCACAGAAGTCCCACACAGGAGCCTTTGAGGAGGCGGAGGTGGTGGAGGTGGTCAGACCCCCTTGCGCCGTGATGAAGTCACGGTGGAGAGGAGGAGGAGGAGGAGGAGGAGGAGGAGGAGGAGGAGAAGGAGGAGGAGGAGGAGGAGGAGGAGGAGGAGGAGGAGGGAGTAGGGCAACGACGGTGGACGAAGGGGCGACCTCGCCCCAGCGGCGGGGGGTGCTGCGCCGTGGCCGGGCGCCGAATCCCACCAGCGCTCTGGGCAGTGGAGGTTTTTGCGCACGCGTGCCTTCTCTGCGGTGCTCTTCTACGCCATGCCATGCCGTGCTCTACAATGCATCACGTACCCTTTCGGGCTCATTGCCCTGCTCGACCTCCGACTGAGCGAGTATAGAGGGGTCTGCGCCATGGTAAGGGATGGGAGGGAGGGGTAGGATGTCAGATATGACGCGAGCCCTCCCTCCCCCTCCGGGGAGGGGTGTGCCCCTCCCCCGACCGCATTCCCGGGCCTGAACAGGCCGCCCCCCGCGACGGGTTTTGGCGTCCAAAGTGGCCCCGAGACACCTCCAAGATGACACGGAGTCCGAGTTGCCCACGAGAGGCCTACATCTTCCCAACATCTGAACCAACCAATGCGGTTCGCCTTCTCGCCTTCCCGCTTCCGATGGGCTTGTAAAGCTTCACGTCGCCCACAGAGCCAAGAGAAGGGGCCCCGAAAAAGAAGCGGCCTCACGACGGCCCCGAGAATGTTCAGAGATGGCCCCCAGATGCTTGTTCTCGGTCTTTCACGAGGGGCGACGCTGATCGGCGCAGCCCCAGCCCCTTCTCCGAAACGCCAGCGTAACTGACACACTGTAGGTGGTGCACTTGATCAGAAAGTTTGGCATCTATGCGTTTTGGCCTGGATTGCTCCGAGGTGGCCTCACGTAGCTCGAGATGGCCTCCGAGATGGCGCAAGCTCGTCCAATATACCTCAAGCTGTCCCGATAGACCACCCCGATATGGCTCTAAGCGACCATGAAGCCTCCCGAGGAGGCCAACCTCAATCAAACACCCAATGCGCTTTCAAACTGTTTGGGCTTCTTACCCTTTCGCTTCCGATGGGCCTCTGGGACCTCAAGGTGGCTCCAAGATTGCCCGTAGAGCTCGAAAGGAGGTTCCCGGAACAGGCCCCCAGACGGCAACAAGAGCGCCCCAAAACCGTGCCCAGAGGGCTCCCATCGGAACTGACCTGGCAAGCCTAAATGTCCTGGAAGGTGACCCCAAACAGGCCCTCCAGGATCCCCAGAAGGGCCCCGAAAGCTCTCACACTGGCCCCAAGAAGGCTACACTATGGCTCTAATAGACTCCCAAAGGGAACTTGAAGTGAAATCCGCCGACAGTGGCGGCGCGTGTGAGGGGCTTGTCCGTTCGAGTCGTCTCTGTCGTCTCGTCGTCGTCGTCGTCGTCGCCTCTGTCCGTCATTCGTTCGTCGTCCTCTCTGTCGTCCCCTCTCCCTCCGTCCCCCCCTGTCCTGGGCCAATCGCTGCCCCCACCCTTGACTTGAACCCTCCCCCGTCGGGAGGCGGGGGTGTCACGAATCAGACACGACTCGGCCCGGCCGGTCCTGGGGTCCAAAACAACTCCAAGACGGGTCCCGGATGCCCCAAGAAGTTTCGAATCGCCGAGAGATCTGTCCAAGACGCCTTGACGGCCTCCAGACGGTACAAGAGGCCTGTAAAGCGCCCTAGAGGCCTCCAGGAGACAGCCTAACTAAGAGGGCCCCCAAAGGCAACATTAATTCATTGTCCTTACGTTCCTTACGTTGCTGGCCTCATTCTCCTCCTCTTCCTCCTCCTCCTCCTTCTCCGCCTCCTCTCCTCCCCGCTGCTCCCTCCCTCAACTAATTCCTCCCTCTCCTCATCCTCATCCGCGTCCTCCTTCGCCTCCTCTTCATTCTCCTCCTCCTCCTGCTCCTCTGCGTCCTCTTCCTCATCGTCCTCCTCCTCCTCCTCCTCCTTCTCCTCCTCCTCCTCCTCCTCCTTCTCCTCCTCCTACTGCTCCTCCTCCTCCTCCTGCCCCTCCTCCTCCTCCTCCTCCTCGCCGCCGCCGCCACCGCCGCCGCCGCCGTCGTCGTCGTCGTCGTCGTCGTCGTCGTCGTCGTCGTCGTCGTCGTCGTCGTCGTCCTCGTCGTCGTCGTCGTCGTCGTCGTCGTCGTCTTCAAGGTCGGCGGCACCAGCCGTAAGACCTTCACACTGCCATATAATATTTTCATGGTTGACTCGTGCCACCTCCTCGCCCTGGCTAATGTCGTCGTCGCCCCCTTCCTTCTCTATTATCCTCTTTTTCATGCTCTTGCTCCTCCAGCTCCTTCTCCTCCTCCTCCTCCATCTCCTCCTCTTCCTCTTCCTTCTCCTCCTCTTCATCATCATCATCATCATCATCACACCTCCATCCTCCTCCCCCTTCTTCCTCTCCTGGCTGTTCCTCCAATTCCCTTTCGGATCCTCCTTGTTCTTCGATGGTAGGCTCAATGATTTCACTCTTGGGTATGCCCATGCTGAATTCGAACTTGAATTTGACGACTGGCTCACTGGATGCTCCTCCCTGCCATTCGCCAAGATGACAATTACAATCCGCGGCTCAGGAAGTCCCGGCCCCTTCCCCAGGGGCCATTTCGCGTCCAGAATTAATGCGTTATATCCCTAGGGCCCAAACACGGCCACCAGATGCCGACATTGGAACAAGGAAGCGCCGATTTCAAAACGAGATCGCATTGTCCGAAACCTGTGGTCCATGCAACTCGCCTGGCCAGCGCTCCTGGACGGGCTGGCGGGATACTCGAAACATCAATCCGCCACCGTGCCTTGTGCACGCTGAGGCGTGCACGAATGCCACGGGTTGTCTTGTAGGGTTTGTGTATTCTATAATCGGGCCCCCCCTGCCAGCAGTCCCTGCACTCCCCCCCCCCCGAGGCCACGATCCATTGTAATTACAAGACCATGGCTCCGCGCTCCCGAGATTCCAAGACGGCCCATGCAGGCAACCAATGACACCAAGATGGCCTAAGATGCCTCCAAGGCCCACAAGAGCCCCAAGACGGCCCAATATGGCATCAAGACGGCCCAATGTGCCTCCAGGAGGGCCCAAAAGGGCCACACGATGATTTCCAACAGGATTTGCAGAAGCCAAACACATCTATGTCCATTGCTTGTTTCATGATGTTCGTCTTCTCGCCTTGTCGGGTCTCCGTCAGCTCAAGACGGCCCGAGCCACCTCCATGATGGCCCCAAGGCGACCGACGAGGCCCCCAAGGGGGTCCAAAGATGGTCCAACGGGTCCCGCGATGGCCCCGGAGGCGCCAAAGACGGCCCGAAGAGGGCCCCCCGCCGAACCCAAGGCTGACACTTAGAAGGCCTCTCGGCGGCCCCACGCCGGCCCCCAAGCACCCACCATACGGCCAGGGGGTCCCAACGATTGCTCAAGAGAGCCCGAGGACGTCCCAGCTTCGCCATCCACGCCCACTGACCACTTCCGCGAAGAACGGGACAAGGTAGGCCAGCTCCACGCACGTCTTCCTCCTCCTCCTCCTCCTCCTCCTCCTCCTCCTCCTCCCCCTCATCATCACAGATCATCGCGCACTTGTTCCCCCCCCCTTCCTCCGCAAGCTCGCAGCCAACGCCTCGGCCCTCCGCCTCCTCGTTCTCTTCCCTCCCCCCCTGCTCCTCACTCGTTCCCCTCCTCCTCCTCCTCCTCCTCCGCCGCCTCCTCCTCCTCCTCTCCTCGCTCGTTCCCCTCCTTCTCCTCCTCCTTCTCCTCCTCCTCCGCCCATCGGAGGGAGTGAACGCGGAGGACCTCGACATACAATCTCGATGACTGCAATACGGGCCCGCGGAAACCCGAAACCTTTCCCCAAGGCCGACTCGTCAGCCCGAGTTCTTGATGCCGGTAAACCTGGAAAACTGTGAATGCTTGTTTTCAAGACGTCAGACGTCAGGGGGTGAGGGAGTGCGGAGGGAGGGAGGACGGAAGGGAGGAGGATGATAATGCGGGAGGAGGAGGAGGAGGGGAAGGATCATGAGGAGAATGAGGATGAGGATGAAGATGAGGATTATGATGATGATGCAGATGATGATGACGATGAGGTGGAGAAGGAGGAGGAGGAGGATGTGGGAGAAGGGAGGGAGGGAGGGAGGGAGGGAGGGGGTGAGGAGGGGTCCCCTAAGCAGGGAGGGGGAAAGGGAAGGAGAAGGCAAGAGGGAGGATGAGGACGAGGCGCGGTGCCCTCCTGACGTCGTACACCTTGAGGCGCACCTTCGCGAAGTCCTCGACGGGAAGGGCGGCGCGGGGGCGGGAGACGGGCCAGCTCGAAGGAAGCACACCGATTTGGAGCTCTCCCTGTGGGGAACGATACGATCCGTGTGCAGGGAAGCGACGGAATACCGTCGGGCTTGACTGCAGAGGAGATGCGAGAGGACACAAGCCCCTTCTGCGGGCCACGCCGCCCCTGGACTGCAGAAGACGTGGGACGCGAAACACGGGACACGAGGGCGCCCTTGATTTGGCAAGGTCGACCCAAAGGTACCCGTGGCTCCCGGCACCTCTCTCGGGGTGCGTTCTGATCAGAACTTCGATGCGAATCCAGCGGTGCTGACGAGGGCCTCCAATGAGGCCCAAAAAGGCGAAAGCGAGGCGAGGGTAGCGGTATCGGTACCGCGGCGCGCACGGCAAGGAGGGGGGAAAGCTTCTTAGAAGGAAGCTGCTTCTTAGAAGGTGCCGGTCTTACATCTACAATGAAGGCCCGCGCCCTCTAAGAAGCAGGGATGCTTCTAAGAAGCCATCCCGGGGACTAAACACGAGCACGCAAGACGCTGCTCTCGCATCGCGTTCGGGGATCGGGGGGCCCCGGTGGGCCCGCACCGAGAAGGTCACTCTGTGCAAAGGGTCACTCTTATGGTGATTTATCCGGCGGCGGGCGAGGGGGGGAAGTGAGAAGGAGAAGGCCTTCTCAGAAGGAGGCGGGGCGTCTCAGAAGGCCTCCAGCCTTCCGAGAGGTTTTTGTCCGTCTTCGGCTCAGAAGGCTGGGGGACTTCCGAGCCTTCTGAGAAGGCCCGCCCCTTCTCCCTTCCCCCCCTGCCCCTTCTCCCTTCTCCCCCTTCTCCCCTCCCCCCCTGCCCCTTCTCCCCCCTTCTCCCTTCCCCCCCTGCCCCTTCTCCCTTCCCCCCCTGCCCCTTCGGCTGAGAAGGCCCGCCCCTCCTCCCTTCCCCCCCTGCCCGCCGCCGAATCGAGCTGTGAGGAGGAGCACGCAGTCACGTGCCGCGGCCTCGGCAGAGCAGCGCGCGCCTCGCGACAACCTGCGCCGTTCAGCGAGCCCGAGGCGAGGAGGAAGTGCGTGTGGCCGCCAGAGAGAGAGAGAGAGAGACCAGAGTAGCATCATTTTTTTTGAGACCAGAGTAGCATCATGAGATAGAGAGAGAGAGAGAGAGAGAGAGCCGTCAGCGAAAGCTCGTGGGCGGCCAATAGGGGGATGTCCGAGAGGGGGGGGGCGCAAGTCATGGCCGGCGGCGTGCGCGCGGCCCGGGGGGGGGGGTGGGCCTAGGACGCATGGACTTACGAAGGGGCGCCCTGAGCTCTGGGGAGATATCATGGCCCCCGCCACGATATCCGCCCCCCCCCCCCTACAGTCGGGGCGTTGACCTAAGGAACCCTAAACAAGGAACGAGGCCCCCTTTTTCCATAAGTTAACCTTCGACTCCCTGTCGAAAACACAAGGAGACCCTGAGGCAAGCTGTGGAACAATTCAGGAACACGGAGCCCCTCCCCAACGAAAAGTGTTCCTTCTTCAGGGCCCCGACGGTAGCCCTCACCCGCCTCTTGGCCGCCCCCGAGAAGGCACCGTGGCGGCGCGCCTCCCCGGCAGGGCGCGTCCGGAACGCCGCGCCGCACTGCCCAGGCAGCCCCCCGCGCGACCACGAGGACCGCCCCAGGCAGGGCACGGAGGGGCCTCCCCGGCCACGGTGGGCCTCGGCCACGAACGTAGGCTCCCCCACCTCCTCCTCCTCCTCCTCCTCCTCCTCCTCCTCCTCGTCCTCCTCCTCCGTCCTCCGTCCTCCCTCCTCCCTCTTCCTCCTCCTCCTCCTCCTCCTCCTCCTCCTCCTCCTCCTCCTCCTCCTCCTCCTCTCCCTCACCTGGATCCAAGCACGGCCCGAGAATCACAACGCCTCAAAAACATCCGGGAGGTCCTCATTCCAGCGCGCTGGCCGTGCATCATCGCTCATGCCCTGCGGCATGCCGCTCTCGCGGGCGACAGGTGCCGCCGCGGAGGATATGATCCGTGCGAGCTGGCCCGCGCCCGTCGCGAGAGGACATGGCCACCCCCGAGGACCGAAAGGCCAACCAAAACCGCTCTTGCTCCTCCTCTTCCTCTTCCTCCTCCTGCTCCTCCTGCTCCTCCTCCTGCTCCTCCTCCTCCTCCTCTGTTCCCTCTGTGCCCCCCTCCTCCCGTGCTACCGCTGTCCTCCTCATCACTCGCTTTCTCCTCCCCTGCTCCCCCTGTGCCCCTGATCTGGAAAATCGGAAAATCGGTTCGAATCGAAACGTGCGTCGGATCCAGCTGCATCGGCACGGAGTCGGAATCGAATCGGATCGGCCGCGCCAGGACGCACACCGGCGTCGTGCAAACATCGGGCTGCATCTTGTCGTCGGGATGCCGGAATCGGATCGATCGGATCGACATGGACCCTGGCAAGTCGAGCCAAGTCAAGTCACCCTGCTCACACGAGAGCGGGCCCAGTAAGGACGCGAAGGACAAACAGGCGCCAGCGCACTGCTCGAGCAATCAGCAAAAAACGATGGGGGAATGAAGGGGAGTAGGGAGGAGGGAGCGCAAGCCCAGCATCGCTACCAAGGGCGCCACGAGGCCTCGGGGACAAAACCCGAAGCACCCAGAAGAGCCAGGGCGGGGACCAAGGGCGAGGGGACGGGACAAGAGTGGGGGAGCAGCACACCCTGACCGTTCAGCGCCCTGAACGTCTGATCCTGCATGATGTCCACAACGTTCTTGTATTTCTTGATCTTCCCCTCGTGGTCAAACAACACCTCCGCAAGAAAGCAGCATGCATATCTAGATATACAGGTATATCTATTCGTGGCACCCCGCAGGTGCGGATAAGAGTGAGGGGGTGGTGGGGACGTCGGCAGTTTGCGACACTTTGGAGAAGCCCGCCGCAGGCGCGATTTTTCGTTAAACCAATGTGGGTAGGTCGCGGGTGGATCGCAAATGGATCGCTGTGGGATCGCGGGTGTAGAGGGCAGAAACTCCACCCCATAATAATCACCCCGACAAGCGAAGCCGTTTAGTAAACGCATACAAGGAATGAATCGAACAAGGCAGGGCTGTTGAATAAACGCCAAGGGCCGTTTAGTAAACGTCAATTGTCGGGTCCAGGTGGTTTCTCCTCCCTTGAGGGTGGGTCGCGGGGTGGGTCGCGGGGTGTGTCGCGGGTGGGTCGCGGGGTGGGTCGCGGGTGGGTCGCGGGGTGGGTCGCGGGTGGGTCGAGGGTGGGTTGCGGGTAGGTCGTGGGTGGGTCGCGGGTGGGTCGCGGTTGGGTCGGGGGGGCCACGGGTGGGTCGCGGGTGAGTCGCGGGGGGGGTCGCGGGTGGGTCGCGGGGTGGGTCGCGGGTGGGTGGGTGGGTCGCGGGTGGCGGACGGGTCGCGGATGAGTCGCGGAGTGGGTCGCGGGTGGGTCGCGGGGTGGGTCGCGGGTGGGTCGCGGGTGGGTCGCGGGTAGGTCGTGGGGTGTGTCGCGGGTGGGTCGCGGGTTGGGTCGCGGGTGGGTCGCGGGGTGGGTTGCGAGGTGAGTCGCGGGGTGGGTCGCGGGGTGTGTCGCGGGGTGGGTCGCGGTTGGGTCGCGGGTGGGACGACGACATCAAACAATAACACCAACAACAACATCAACATCAACAACACCACCACCAACACCAACAACACCACCACCAACAACAAACATAACAACAGTAACAACAGTAACAACAGTAACAACAGTAACAACAACAACAACAACAATTACTAGCACGTGGGGACACTCCGTTCTCACCAGTGCCAGGGTTTTCATAGGAGGCGGGCAATACCCCCACTTTGTGGGGGGGCCGGTTCAAGCTCTACCAAATTTCCAAACGACTCTTCGCCACCACCCACACCCAGCTTCCCGCCCTATGACGTTCGGACACTTCACTTCGTGGCATGCGGACGACCGTGGCTACTATTCAGGGCCCCGCGGCCGACGACGACGGCGTGCGCGCGCGAAGAAAAAACGAATGTGTCCCGCATGGTATTATTTGACAGGGATGATGGCCCTGGCAGGTGCGCAACCGTTGTCGCAGAAGTTCGAAAAAGTTGCTCGCAAAAGCCCGTTTGACAGAAATGTTTAAAAAGTGTTGGGTTTCCTACGAATCCGCAAGAGCGCGCGGGATGAGATTTTGACATTTTTTTGTTGAAAAACCATTGGTTTTTTGATGTTTTTATGTTAAAATCGCTCCGAACACTAAGGTTTTGGAAGGATTTCGTCTTGCGCGCGCGAATGTCCACTTTACCTTATTTTTTGCAAGGGATTCTTGAAATTTGATTATATTAGAACAAGAAATGTCATTTTCTATTGTTTTTTGCAAGGGAAAGCGGATTACAACAAAACAACCGGATCCTGTACACACCCTCTTTTCTGAGGCTTCCTCACGAAAATGATGAAAATGTAGCTGCGGCCTAGGCGGCGCAGGGGGGGCGAGCACCAGAGGGCCCAACAATAATTATTCTTTAGAATAAATAATGTTCAACAACAACAACACCAACAACAACAACAGCAACAGCAACAGCAACAGCAACAGCAACAGCAACAGCAACAACGACAACACCACCACCAACAACAACACCGCATCAAGCAGAATTCTCACCACGAATTCCCTATTCAGCCACGCACCCAGGGATAATGAATGACCGCTCGCCCCCCTCACTCTGATGTACGCGTATAAATATATCGAATACGCATACGGCGAGTCACCGCCGCCCCCTGCCCTTTCGGAAGCGCCATGTGGCCGAACGTTGAGGCCAGAGCCCTGCCAAGCTATCGGACCATGTGTTCCCCGAATCGGTTTGGAAAGCCTTCGGGGAACACGTGGGGGAGGACGGGGAAGAGGATGAGAGTGAGGACTGGGCGTGTTCGGGGCCCCTTGGGGGCTATTGTGAGCTTTTTGAAAAGTCTTGGGGCCTGCTGGCCGAAGGTTGGGTCAGATCCTTGTCAGATCTTGGAAGCATCTTGAAGGTCATCTTGGCCGTCTGGAGGCCATTTTGACTCTTTCGGGCCTTCCTCGAGGCCGTCTTGGAGGGCTCTTGGGCCGTCTTGGAAGCCTCTTGCGGGCCTTTTGGGCAGTCTAAGGCCATCTTGAGACCATCTGGGGCCGTCTTGAGACCATCTGGGGCCATCGTCGCTGTCTTGGAGGCCTGCTTGGCCGTCTTGAAGGCCATCTTGGGCGTCTTTGGGGCCATCGTGGGCCGGCCTGGGGCCTTCTTGGGGCCCTCTTGGGGGCCTCTTGGGCTGTCATGGGGCCATCTTGGAGGCCTCTTGGGCGCTCTTGGGACGATGTTGGAGGCCTCTTGGGCCGTCTTGGGCCGCCGGAGAGCTGAGAAGGGCCCTCTTTGGCCGTCTTGGGCGCCTCGTGGGGCCGTCTGCGAGCCTTCTCATGCCGTCTTGGGGCCCTCGTGGGGGCCTCTGGGCGAGAACGCCAAACTCTTTCAATCACCTCGGTCAATGATCTCATTTGGGCCCTCTTGGGAAGCCTCTTGGAGGCACACCCACAAGGCGACCGTATGTATTTACACACATACATGCATGTGTGTATATGTATTTGTATATGTCTATGCATATGCATATGTATATGTATATGTATATGCTCATGTTTATGTGTAGGCTTAGGTTTATGTATATGCATGCATGCTTGCTTGCATGCATGCATGCATGCATGTATGTATGTGTGTGTATGTCTGTCTGTCTGTCTGTATGTATGTATGTATGTATGTATATATATATATATATATATATATATATATAAAGATATTTGTATATATAGATATATCGGAGTGAGGGGGCCGAACGGTCATTCACTGTCCCTGGGTGCGTGGCTGAAGTGGGATTCCGCGGTGCGGATTCGTGTTGTTGTTGTTGTTGTTGTTGAACTCTCATTCTTGAAGAATAATTATTGTTGATCCCCCCCACCGGTGCACATTGATTTTTTTCGATTGAAGTGCCACCCCCGGGGCTCGCACCTGGTTTTTTCTAAAAGAAAATCTTCCTGCTCAAACTGTGCCCCTGCCCCCTGGGCTACAACAACAACGGCTCCCGCCTGAGACTTCCTCGAGTTTTACTCAGGACCCCCGCTCCCGCCTGAGACTTCCGCGCAATTTACTCAGGAAAGGCGCTCCCATCTGAGACTTCCTCGCAATGTAATCAAGACCCCCGCTCCCGCCTGAGACTTCCGTGCAATTTACGTGGGAACGGCGCTCCCGCCTGAGACTTCTTCGAATTTTACTCAGGACCCCCGCTCCTGCCTGACATTTCCGCGCAATTGACTCAGGAACGGCGCTCCCGCCTGAGACTTCCTCGCAATTTAGTGAGGACCCCCGCTCCCGCCTGAGACTTCCGTGCAATTTGCTCAGGAACGGCGCTCCCGCTTGAGACTTCCTCGCAACTTAGTCAGGGCCCCCGCTCCCGCCCGAGATTTCCTCACAATGTACTCAGGACTGCGCTCTCGCGTGCGACGTCCTCACAAATTATTCTGGAATTGCGTTTCGGCGTTCAGGAACCACGCACGCGCCAAGGACGCCTTCACAACGTGGTATCTTCCCTCTTCCTTCGTCCTTCCCCCTCCCCTTCCTCCCACTCTCCCTCGTTCTTCCCCTCCTCCTCTTGCAGGGCCCGCGCCAATTCCAATGGCGGGCAGAGAGATGTACGCCCCCGAAGGATTGTCCGCCCGTTCCGGTTTGCCCGTACGTCTAAGCCCGCCGGCCCCAGCAAAGAGAAATAATCCCCCCGAAAGGGGTGTGATCGAAGACGAAGAGGGCGGGTTTCGAGGGTGTAGGGTATACGTGTTGAATGACTCGCGGGCAAGGAAGAGCGTACAGCCTTAAAATGGTTGTTGTTGTTGTTGTTGTTGGTTGTTGGTTGTTGGTTGTTGGTTGTTGGTTGTTGTTGTTGTTGTTGAACATTATTAATTCTAAAGAATAATTATTGTTGGGCCCCCTGGTGCACCCCCCCCCCCCGCGCCTAGGCCGCAGCCACATTTTCATCATTTTCGTGAGGAAGTCTCAGGTAAAACGATGTCATCCAGATCCGGTTGTTTTGTTGACGCCCGCTTTCCCTGTCAAAAAACACTATAAAATGACATGTCTTGTTCTAACATAACCAAACTTCAAGAATCCTTTGCAAAAAATGACACGAAGTGCACACTCGCGCGCGCAAGACGAAATCCTTCCAAAACCTTAGTGTTCGCAGCGATTTTAACATAAAAACATCAAAAAACCAATGGTTTTTCAAAAAAAATTGTCAAAATCTCATCCCGCGCGCTCTTGCGGATTCGTAGGAAACCCAACACTTTTTAAACATTTCTGTCAAACGGGCTTTTGCGAGCAACTTTTTCGAACTTCTGCGACAACGGTTGCGCACCTGCCAGGGCCATCATCCCTGTCAAATAATACCATGCGGGACACATTCGTTTTTTCTTCGCGCGCGCACGCCGTCGTCGTCGGCCGCGGGGCCCTGAATAGTAGCCACGGTCGTCCGCATGCCACGAAGTGAAGTGTCCGAACGTCATAGGGCGGGAAGCTGGGTGTGGGTGGTGGCGAAGAGTCGTTTGGAAATTTGGTAGAGCTTGAACCGGCCCCCCCACAAAGTGGGGGTATTGCCCGCCTCCTATGAAAACCCTGGCACTGGTGAGAACGGAGTGTCCCCAGTCTTAAGTGATTGTTGTTGTTGTTGTTGTTGTTGTTGTTGTTTGTTGTCGTCGTCCCACCCGCCACCCGCCCCGCGACCCACCGGCGACCCACCCCGCGA